ATGTCAAGCTTGCGTGTTCCAACATAGGGTTGGAAATACCAACTAACTTTTTGTTAAACCTAATTAAAATTTTGACTACTCTATTACATAAAACACAACTGATCATGATTGAATAAAAACTCATTAGCATTTGAAATTCCTCTTATTAGTCCTTTCACCTTTCTTTAAGTGGAAAGCCATACTCTATGAGAGCACCTTATCAGCTGCACGGCTGAACCCTGTAGTTATTTGCATGGGCCAGTATGATAACAAACGGTCACCTCCCTGAGCTGTAGCAGTGGACAGTGGTGCAGACTTCCCTCAGTTTATCATCTAATATGCGCGCACATACACATACACACACACACTAATCCCACACCAGGGCAACTCAACCCAGTCAGCATTCCTCTCATGTTCATCTGATAACTGGATGTGTGGGTGTTTGTCTTAGTTGTTCCTCAGTAGACTATGGTCCAGACTCCAGTGGTCTAGAGATCCTCTTTGAAATGTTCTTGGGGTATTCCTGTGAATAAATGAACTGGGGGCAGTAAATGTTTCATAATAGATTTTTCGCCTATAACCAGAAATTACTTTGTTACCAAATATCACTCTTGAAGACACTGATAGCATTGCTCTTTCAAGAACCATAAACATCTTTTTGGTCTTTTAAACTTAAGGAAATTCTGAGATATTTTTCTGATTAGGTGCAGAGATAGAAAGAGCACTTGACCCTTGACAGTACAGGAGGAGAACATTAGCAGCAGACAGTTGCCCTGCTACTGGTGCTGTCTTTGAAATGTTAGGTTGGTCAAATGATTTGCAGTGAAAAGCAGGGTCAGGAGTCATAGTGAGGGATGTGGGCTTAAAGAGTACAGGCTGGGGGTAGGGTCAGCACATTTATGGCTGCCTTTTCCAGTGAGCAGAGGCAGAATCCAAACATTAAACTTTTTATTGAAGTAGGTTAAACAAGTTCTGTGTTATCATTCAGGAAATATATGTGGAAAAATGGTGTGCTCATCTGGACAACAGGAACAGTGTAGAACACATGGGAGGGATGAACACAGAAGAAACAGAAAAAAGATAGGAGAGAGGGACTGAAAGAGGCAATTGTAACATATATTTAATATGTTTATAAATTAAATTTTAGACTGTTTTGTAAAAATAATTGAAGTGTGCTCCTCATGCTGAAAATTGCAGGTGCAAATACTGCAGACGGATAGAAGTCTTAAATTAATAATGGTTTGTATATGAAATGTTGTATGTGGGTTAATGTGGTTAAGTCTCAGTAGAGCACAAATTACTGAAGTGTAACTGTTGAAAGAACTTCATGTGCCATTTCAAGTAAAACTGGGTTCAGACAAAGAGAAAGTTAATGTAAATATGCTATTACACCCAACTTTGCACAGGCTGTTGAAGTTCTTTGCTGCTGAAGTTCTCATTTGTATGGTTAAACACTGTGCATGCTAATACTTGAGATGTAATGATGCTGACATTTAACCAATCAGTTAGTAAATCAATTAGTAAAAGACTTAGGTAGCTTTAGCAATATGACCAAGCCGCATGGTAACCGGATTAGATTAACAGTTTTCACTGTTTTGATGAAGAATCTGTTAGAAAATTCCAGGATCCACATGATAAAATATCCCCAAACCTCTGACATTTCTTTTCCTCCGCCTGCTGTAATGACCTACTCAACAAGAGTGAGGTTGACATAATGTTGATATTAAGTCATATCAGTGCGTAGTATCGGACAACTTTTATGAGTTCTGTACAAGTAGTAGAGGATGGGATCGGACCCGACACCCAATACTGGTATTGGTACATATCTAGTAAGTTCCTGCATTGGAAAAGGCCTAATTGTAAGCAGTGCACAGTTCATTAAGACTTGCTCCCCATTAGCTTGTTATCCAGAGAACAGAGAAGGAGAGCCTTGTAGAAAGGTTTGCAGAAAGTCAGCCAGGGAGTTAGCTTAGAGGCCCTTCTGTCTAGATGATCAAGTCCATTAATGTGCACAAACTCAAAGGGAGGACGATCACAGCACAGCACTGTAGCCATTCAACATGAGCCAAACACACAACCAGACCCTCGTGTTGAGGTTTCCACAGCCACAGCCTCCACTGTTCCTGTGGCACTGATGTCTTCTAAGAGCAATTCCTTCCCCTCTTCCCTTCCAGACCTTGCTGTCTGCTGGGAGACCCCCCACCTTGGCCCTCTCCACCCACCCACACACACTTTCTATATGCTACCATCTATACGAATCCTGTGTTTAATAAAAGACTTGGTAATAGACTTGATACCTCACTATATCACCTTACTCCCCTGGCACAATGTATACAAAGCCTGTTTTGTAGCAGTACACTGCTTAGAGTCATTAGGACAGATTTTTCGGGGGCCTGCAGCTGAATAGGGCTTGGTAATGGAGCAATGGGAGAGCTGACAAAAGCAGCCCCCCCACCTCCCTAGTCCTTCTCCTCTCACCAGCCTGGCTCAGACTCTAATATATAAACACATAAGGTGACAAGGGGAGTTGTTTGTCTAACAGTGTGTGCGTGCATTTGTGTCTCCAAGGCTGTGGCATGACAATAAAGGGCATGACTGGAATACATTGCAAGTCAGAGGTGTCATTAAGCAAGCAGTGGAATGACTGTGTGGGCTGCCAGCGAGTGTGTCTCTCCCTTTTGTTTTTAAAATGCAAGCTTGAGAGCTCTGTTTTGTGTTGCAGTGCCACAAACATTGTGTTGGCTAAAGGTTATGATACTTAGAGAAGACAAATTGGTTTTATTTTTCAGGTGATTTTGAGGTGGATATATGGACTGATAAATGCTACTCTGAACTACTTTTGCTGTTTCCCTTGATTCTTTCCAGTCTTTCAAGCCTTCCATCCTCTAAACTTGCCCCCATTCTAACTTCGACCCACCACTGCCACTTGGGTCAAGGCTTTAGCAACTATTCTATTTACAAAACCCTGTAATCTGACTTGCATTTGGGCAGACATCCAGACAAGTCAAGGCTGCTTTGGTAGACAAATCTGATTTCCCTGTTGTCATTACTGGGGACCCTTCTGTTTCCAGTGAGAAAGTTTAACAGAGAGTCAGCTGCGGCTGCAATAGGAGGCATTCACGCGGAGATTCAGAACCATAAAGGCATAACCACTCATGGGCAGATGCGTGAAAAGGGTCTTCTTAGAATGCAGGTCAGAGACGAAGCTGACCTCACGGGTTGAGGAAGGATAAGCAAGAAATGCAGAGGAGAGGGGGAGGGGAGAATATGCTTGCACACACACAGAATATGTGTGTGTGTCTATGTGTGTGAATGTATGGGTACGGGGCTGTAGTGGCCAGGCAAGGCTGCAGGGGCAAAGGCTGGTCCCCTGATGGGTGTCTTTCAGTATGCCAAGGCTGAGTGGGAATGAGAACTGATGGGTGTGAAATGGTCCCTTCTCACAGTGACCCAGGCCCCTACTAGGTCCAGCCTGCTAACACTGTCGCTTTGTCCTTCCCATTCTCAAAGAGCCTGTATATCAAAGGGCTCGTAATGACTCAGCTGGGAATGTATGAATGCTGTAGAGACTCTGATGACATCATTTGTGGCATTCAGTCAGTATCTTCAGTTATAGTGTTATGAAAGGCATAAAAAGTTTTATTTGGACATTCTAAGTCTGCAGTGCCTGATGACAGTGATTTGTGCAAGTGGTGCCAAACTACACAGTGATGTTTAAGGGCCTGAAACTCCGGAGTGATGACTGAAACTACTTGTAAGGCCCCAAACAACACTTGATTCTTGAGAAAACAGTTTGTCATCTATTTTGTCTCTTCATCATCTTATTCAGTACATGTTTAGAAACAGGTTTTTTATTTCAGCCTCACAAGGTAGAGACATTTTCTTGGAACACAACACGAATCTGATGAGCACACATTCTGAGCTGAGCACATATCTGTGATTAGCCAAGTCTTGCTGAAGATGATGACATCCATTTTGTTTGGTGGGAGAGAACAGATGGGCAGCATTGGCAGAGAAATGTCACACCAAATGCAAATATAGCACCTTGTTGTTTCGCTGTTTGCGGCTGGTCTGACTGTTTTTTCTCTTTTTCTCTCAAAAAAAAACACTGGTGGATGATGACTATAATAATAATCTTTGGTGCTTGTTGGGAAGCAGAGATCTGAACCTGAATACACACAACTGTGATATATTATCTGAAGACATGTTGCTTCATCAGTCTGCCGCCTGTATTATTTATTCCCATCTTAAATCTCTTTCAGTTGCTTTGTCTAATGTGGTTGTCTTTTGTATCCTAAATTAATGTCACAAGAAATGTTTGACCCTTGAGACAGGAGCTGCAGAGGATTCCCATATTATTCAGCCTACACTGTAACAAATTGCTGTTAAAAACGGCCAAATTCCAACAGTAACGTACTGTTTTCCATTAAAACAGTATTATACTGTTGACAACAATACCTCACAAAGGGGTTCTGCACAAAGCAGGGCACTAACAGGAGAAAAGTCAACAATAATACACATGTCCAGAGCCAATGGACCTCTTCTTTATGATGCAGCTTTAAAAACAAACAAGCCAAAACAAAAACAACAACAAAAAAACTTTGCTTGGACACATTATATCTGGTGTTGTGACACCAGGGGACAGAAGTTCCCCATGTGGTATTTGGTATTTTGACATTGCATTTATTTCTCGTAAGAAACAATCACATGATACAGTAGACTGTGATGAAGAAAGCTGTACATATTTATTTCCTGTTAATGCACTGTACTGAATTTTTATTGCTGTGTTTAATTTACTGTATTGTCATGATTGATGTCAATTAAAGAGTTTCTGACATATCAACAAGAAGGATCTCAATTCTCTGGGTTTTACCACATCAGGATTATGTTAAACATCGTATGTAGAATTAGATTAAATCAAACAAAGCACACACTTGCAGGTAATCATATTGACCAACGTCTTTGGTAAACCTCATTTCTCCTGTCTTTTCTGTGAATTTTTTTGTTAAAACATTTCTGGTCTGCTTTAAGTAGCTCTGTCTATGAGAGGGAAATTGTCCAGTGGTTTACTTTGGCTTAGTTGTAAATAGAAAAGAAAAAAAGTTATAATTTCCTTGCAAGTGTGTGTATGTGTGTGTGCGCGCAGCCTAGAATATAATAGTTACATTGCTCTTCTGTCAAAGCCTTTTTGTCAGCATTGCTAATGAGTTGTTATAAGACACACTGAACTAAAACGTTGGTGTTTTTGAGTTTGCAGCTTTTTGTTAGTGGAGGATTTGCCATCAAAATGTTCCCATGCCAGTTCTGTGCTAGTGAATGTACCAATGTATGTGCATATGTTAGGCACACAGATTCATATGGATGTACCAGATTTCAACCAGAACTTCCACCAGAGAGACTGATAATACTATGGAACAAAAGCGCCAAAGATTGGAGGAGATCTATAGACAGGAAGGTGCAGATGGGGTTGAAAGAGCAGAGGTCCGTCATCTCATGGAGACTACATTCTGTCTACTGTGTCACCATATAAATGCGATTCCGGCTCCTTCCATTGGAGGCATAAGAAGCAAATGGCCTTATCTCTTCAATCAGAGATACATGTATGCTCATTTTGAGCTTCTCACAGATCTTAATGTGCTGCATCTCCTGGAGCTTGCCATGGAGGAATCTGGGAAAGTGATCACAGAATATATCCGCAACAAACCTACCAACAAAGATGTCCAGACTGTCCTCTCCCAGGGGGAGGACACTGAGGTGGCACTTCATGTGGTCCAGTTGCTGATGGCCCACTTCACAGAGACCACAGATGGGCTCATCCTTCTTGCAGATGTAAGGTTGTTTTCTCTTTCTTTCGTAATTTTTATTGCCTTGAATTGTTGCCATCTTAAATTCATATCATGAACATTATCACTACAATTCTACTGTCTTTTCCCTATAGTCGTCTGCCACAGTGGCTGATGTTGAGAGGACCCTCACGCTACCACCAACTCCTTGTCTAATACTGCTCAGTATGTATTCATTGAAGTGACATTGTTTATGTTATATCAGATGAGCGTTCACATTTATTTATATCCCAGCAAAGCATGCACATTCTTCCATGTAAAGATATAGAAGTTAATTCTCTGAAATTACTATTTTATGTTTCAGGTGGAACAGAGCATGTCACTGCAGGACGCTGGATGATCTGCCTTGAGGGTGAGGTCCTATGTGAGGGCATCCAACCAACATTTGTGACAGGGCTTGCTGCTCTGTTTTCAGTGTACTACATATTTAATCTGCAGTACCAAGAGGAGGCTGCCTGTACACTAGAATTTATTCAAAGGTAAGGTTTGTGTTGTCCAACAGACCTGTTTCACAGCAGTCATTTTGACATGAAATTGTAAGGTAAACACAGGTGTTATTGATGATATTAAACTTCAATCCGATTAATGTCTAACCAAGCCAGGGTCCTGGTATAGTAATACTAACTCTCTGAAAAAATTGCAAAACATAAATAGAACAGAAACACAACTAATGTCAGTAGTAATACCTGTGTTTACCTGCTATTTCATGTCAAAATGGCTGCTCTGAAAAAGGTCTGCTGTTCTCTTTACTTGTCTCTAGCTGCTTGGTCATCATATCCAATTTAGATTGTTTAAGTAAATATATAAGCACCAGTAGTCATCCCAACAATATCTTCACAACATTGATATTATGGTATTCCATTAAAAATATTTTGATCATATGTACGAGCCCTATGTCATATAATAG